GAGATGCCAGTTACACATCCAAATGGTAATTTTAGGAAGCACTGGATTGGTGTTTACATGCCATAGGATTCCTGACACGCGACAGACTATCGAATTCAAGAGCGAGTCGTGGGTCTTAGATGAAAGTCCGTGTCGTCCATTTAGTCACCGTTGATAGCAAAGACAATCTATAGATGTAAACAGACCTCGTTCCTTTGAGAAGACATCATCTATCGGCGCGTCCCCTCCCAGAGGTAGCCGATGGGTGAGGGGTAGCGTGCGCGCTCCCGAGCTCGGAGGTTACGGGTTCTACTCCCATCAGGTCTAACAGATATTTCGGTATATCGGCAAGCACCAGCCGCTCTTAGCAGTTGAGAGGGGAACGCCAACAGGTTGAGAACTTGCACATCGTCATTTTTTCTTCTTACTAACTGATCTTCTACTTTTGCACGTGCAAATTTACCATGTGGATAGGGACATGCGGTCTTACCTATCCACAATTAAAATTACCACTTGGATACGCAATCGTCTAGAATTTATACAAATGGAAGATTACCATGTGGATACGCAAAACATTTTCCCCTATCCATGTGCATGGAAATGTCCCATGCTATGGAGAGCGAAATTAGTCAGTAATTGGACCGGGAAATTTACTCATTGCGGTCGGGGAAAGGGGCGTTTACTCATCCACCTGCGCAATTTTGCCCTGAAAATTTCTTACAGTGAATACATGGGGAAGAGTGACACCGGGTCAGAGCACGGCTTCTCGCAGGTGGTCGCCTTAGCCGCGTGGGTTAAGGCGTCGAATCCCAACCCAGAGGTTTGGGGTTCAAATACCGGTAAGGTAAGAGGTAAGGTACAACATTGAACTTAATTGCGTGTCATGTGTGGGCAATATCTAGAATGAGACAACCAGCAGGGAAAAAATATTTTTCTTTCATATCAGAGCATGTTTGAACATAAACATATTTTTTTCTGTATCGATGGATACACATTTCTGTATCTGTATTACAGATTTGTTATTGTATCCGAAAGAATACAATTTTTTGTATCACGGATGCTGAAAAAACTGCATATCGAAATTACAGATTTTTGTATCAATTTTTTTTAGAGTGTGTATTAGTCCCCACCCGCGCGCCGCGAGAGGGGCAGCGGGCGGGCGAGAGAGAGAGAGAGAGAGAGAGAGAGAGAGAGAGAGAGAGAGAGAGAGAGAGTCGGCGCGCGCCGCCGGTGTGGCGGTGAAGGGAGCCTCTAAAACTTGTCCCTCTTCCCTGCAACGGACGCAGCCCCCACAGTAATTAGCAGGCAATTACTTCCCAAAACGATG